TTTTGCCTTAGAGACGTATTCCGCTGGACCGCGAAGACGAGACATTGATCTCGTATCCGAATTGCGAAGCCTGACGAGATGTCGAGTGCGTCGGCCGCACTTCAGAAGACGTCATTCCAGCGCTTTGTGGGTTGTTCGGAGAGCCTTTGATGTAGCCACAATATCAGGCCATCTTTCTGCTGCGTAGCAGAGCGCAGGGAGAAGAGTTGAATCGAACAGGTGGGCTCGGAGCTCTGGGTCCTTCGGCTGGTCTATAGCTTCCTTTATCGGTCCCAAGGCGGCTCAAGCTGCTCTTTGCCTCCTTTAGTTTTTTCTTTTAGATCGTTCTTCATATTCATCGAACGCTCGAGATATACATAAGAAGATGTCTCCGCGGTTGGAGAGCCTTCTAATTCCATTTCCTAATCCTAGCAAAAGCGTTCTTCTTGAACTGAGTCTTCATACGTTTGATTGCAGTCCCATCCGCATCCCTATTTCGCTTAGTTCCTTCAACATCGTCTCGGCTCCAGTGATATTTTTCGAGAAGAGAACAATGTCGTCCGCAAAACGAAGGTTCGAGAGGAATTACCCATCAACTCGTATACCTCTCTCGTTCCAATCCAGTGTTTTCATCACCCGCTGCAACGCGGTGGTAAACAGCTTTGGCGACACGGTGTCGCCTTGTCGAACCCCCTTCGAGATTGGTATGTCAAGAGGACGAGGAAAAGCTACTTGTAGAGCAGTTTTTGTAGCGGCCAATGTCCTCACGTAAGATGGGTCCACCCCTTGGTTGAGGAGCGCTGAAAGTATGGCATTAGTCTCGACGCTGTCAACGTTTTCTCATAGTCAGAAGGTTAGGACGAAATGTGAGTGGTACTCTCGTCAAACCTTGCTAACCCTAAAAATTGTCTGGATGTGATCCACGCAGCAGAATCTCTGGCGAAATCCAGCTTGTTCTACAGGTTGGCCTTCACCCAGTGTCCTTGATATGCGAGCGAGAATAATGTTCTTAAAGAGCTTGTAAAACACGCTCATCAGGCATATTGAGCGGTAGTTCCGAAAATCCTCCCTATCGCCCTTCTTATGAAGAATTGTGCGGGAGGTTGTCCACTTGTCGGTAATCCTTTCTTTTTGAAGGAAAGGCGTTAGATAT